ACAGCAGAGTCAAAGAAGGTTTTTCGGAGAGCCCCCTAAAATCCTAGAGCCCACACAAACATCCTAGGATAATGACGTAGGTAATGTTTGTGAAATCATATTTCATAGGAAATTATGGTAAAACTACACCAGATACAAAAGTATTTGCCTTTTCTAAAAGCATAAAAATGTGACAGAGATTCTAATTATTCTGCATAAAATGTTTTACCTACTGTTTTGTTTGCTCATGGTTTCGGTCACTTAAAAAATTCAGCGTTTTTCAACCCTGGTCCTCAAAGCACACTGCCCTGCATGTTTTAGATGTTTCCCTGCTTTCACACTCCTGCTGTCAATTGTTAGCATATTATAAGTCTTTGCTGAACAGAAGTAATCTGGAATCAGGTGTGTTGAAACTGAGAAACACCCAAAACATGCAGGAAAGTGTGCCTTGAGGAACAGAGTTGAAAAACACTGATTTTAATGCGCAGGGTGTCTCGTTGACGCCAAAGCTGGGTGGGGTTCTATCTTGTTCAGTATATCATCTTTGTTGCGAGCCGCAGACCGTTAACCTAAACAACTATTTATTAAACCAAAAAAAGAAAGTCTATTGTGTTCACCCGCGAAAATGTTTTTTTTTTTTTTTCATTTTGACGATGCGTAATATTAAATTATGTCACAAACTAGTGTAATGAATAGTTTAAAATATTGGACATTTGAACAGGCGTTTTCCAGACTACTATGAAATTAAAATGAGTTCTAACGACATGACGCTAGAGGTCGCCCTTTGCTACCACTAATTTAGTGATGAGTCACAGATTAACTTTCTTGCGGGAAAAATAACTTCTCTCAGGATTTACTTCAGATTTTTTTTTTTACATGTAGTTGTCAAAGTACAAAGGGATTTTCACATTTGCAATGAGATGAGCAATGTTTATTACATTTTTGAAATATGTGTTTAATAATTCATAATACAACAAAAATGTTGCTCGTTTGCCTCCTGACGCTTTATATTTACCCTACTATACAATTCAGTTTATTTATATAGCACCAATTCACAACACGTCATCTCAAGGCACGTTACAGTTCACCAGATCATCCAGTCAGATCGATTCAAAGTTTTCTATCTAAGGAAAACCAGTTGATTGCATCAACTCATTGACTCCTCAGCAATCCCTCATGCTACGCATGCTTGTAGCGACAGTGGAGAGGAAAAACTCCCTTTAAAGAGAAAGTAACCTCCAGCAGAACTAGACTCAGTGTGAGCTGCCATCTGCTGAGGCCGACTGGGGTTCAAGGAGGCAGAAGCAGAGATACAAAAAGCAGCTGTAAAAGGCGGCCCTGTCCAAGAAACACACAGCCAGGCAGATGAGCTCCGAGCCAGCTCCCATGTCAGAGGATGAAGAGAGCACATCCAGCCAGTCACAGTCAGAGAATGAGGACTACACTGGAAAACAGGCCATCTCTAACATCTATAAACAAAGGTGTTGATGGCAGCATCACGGCTGATATTTTTCTCCAGGAAAGTGTCAATGCCAATCAGGAACAGACGAGGCGAAGCTACTATGAGAAAAGGCAGAGAGAGCAGAACATTAGCGATTAAACTAACAGATTCTGCAGAGTGGAGGAATAGAGATGTAAAAAGATGAAGTAGGGCTCCCTATGTCCTCCAGAAGTCTAAGCCTATAGCAGCATAACTATAGAGATAGCTGAGTGTTTACTACTGAATAACATTTCTAAAAAGATTATAAAAACAGTGTTGAGTTTCTAAAACAACAATGTGGAAACAAAACTGTCAATATAAGTAAATTAATTCACATTTTTTTAAAAGCTTCTAAGCCTATTTTACATATTTTTTATCCTTGAGCTCTGGCATCACTACTATATATACACAACCTTTCTTTTTTCAAACATTTATCAGCACCATCGATAGAATCCCACTTGTTTGAGACGGATATTGGCCCCACTGCCTTCCTGTGATTTAATTTGCATAAGTGAACAGAACATGATGAATCTTTACCTTAGACATCAACTGGTGTTTTTGAGTGGTTTGGTAATTTACCCAGCTCAGTACAAAAAAAATAAATAAAAGAAAAGTTCCATCTAAAGTGACCCCATATAGTGTACTGTTCCTGTTTTGCTGAGGGCATTATGTTGGAAAGTTATTTTTTCATCACAAACATGTCACACCCAAAGTAATATTTTGGCTTCTGTAATCGATAAGATATTATCCACAAAGTTTTTGCAGATGAGCTACAGCCATGCTTTTATATTTTTATTTTCTTTTTAGGAAGAAACAGTTCCTGTTGCGAAACATAATCACCAAAACGTAATTCAATGACCACAAGAGTTTCTGCCTTGTATTTTCATTAATGTTTGGATAAACGCATGTCAGTAAGTTCAGTATAGTCCAAAGTTTTATGGACTTCTTGTATATGCATCTCTCCTCTATAAATTTCCTGCTCTTTTTTTCCTCGTGTTTGTTTTGTTCTCTCCCTTTTAACCCTGCTATACAATTTTCTTCCCTAAATAATTTTTAAATTAAAGAAAAAAAAAAGGAAATTACCTACTCCTGATACCTTAATACAATTAGATCCTTTATGTCTGCAAACTATGACTTAGTTTTAATGTCAGATGTGTCGCATGACTGCATATACAATATATTTTGATTATTAAATAAAAAAACTTGCAACAAAGTTACAGCCTGATGAGAATAGATAGATAAGATAGAGATATGAATACCCACTCAATGTTAAGGTCAATGTTCTTTTTTAATGAAGGGGTTAATTGCATTTTTTCCCAACATTTTAATTTGCGCAGAAATAAGTCATGTAATTCAGGCTCCAACAGAGTGTCCTATAAATTGGTTTTTGGCAATTAAATAAAACCTGTGCGCTTTAATTCAGCTTGCTGCTGATTAGAGATCTTGATTGCTTTTTAATATTTTACTCGCCCCAAACAAACACATTTTCATTTTACCATTTATGTGCACACACTGAACACAATACTAACTACCGGGTAACAACTGTATATATATTTGCACATTATCTAAAAAATTACAGATACACTTAACCAGGCTGTTGGCCTTTTCCCTTTGAGGGAAGATCGAAGTATTTTTCTCTGAATGATAAAAAAGGAGGCAGCTTCTTTGATGGAGGTATTTTTTAAATCCAAAATAAATAAAATAAAGATGCTAACTTCATTTCTGCATGAAAGGTCATGCAAACTTAAAAGAATAATTTTATTAAGACAGATTTTTTTTTTAAAAGAATGCTTTTGGTTGACAATTTTTTTTCTTCCATTTTTATACTTGTGATGAAAAGGCAATAAAAAAAATAAAAAGATCTGTAAATGAATAAATCCTGCCATTCAATGGGAAATTGGTAAATTTCAGACTCTAGGTTAGTGTAACTGGAATGAAATATGAAGAAAATATCCAGTTTCTGGGATTAAAAGCTTAAAAGAATCTCCTTTCAGCTTGTAGGAATGTCTTAGAAATAAAAGTGCACAGCCAGTTATGAATGACAACTTTTTATTGGATTTATTTATGCAAGACCATAAAGATCTCTTATCCCCTCATACTTAGTTTGTACATTGTTAACATTGCATAAGATCATAGAGAAGTGATCCATGTAGTGATATGAGAACCATGTTCATTGATGCAACTGTTAAGTTTGAGGGGGGGGGGGGGAAATTACACATTCATTCCTATTGATTAAAAATGTGATCATCAGTCATGCATTACAGTGATCTGTGGTTAATGACTCCAATGCAAAACAAGCTGGGCACTTAAAAATATTAGACTACAGATTTAAGGAGTTGGTCCAACAGATGAATGACTATTAATGTTGGATACTAAAAAAACAACCTGTGAGGAGAGCATTAAATGCAAAACGTATGTGGGGATCACAAACCGCATAGCAGAATATAATCAGAGTTACAACCAAGCCAGGCAAATTGAACATAACATACTTTTAATCACTAAAGATATATATATCAAAACTTACTGGCCTAGCTCAGAGTCAAAATGAGTTACATGACATAATGAAATTCAGCTATGGGAGGAAACGTGGAAAACAAAGAATGCTCTCAACACGGGACAAACAACTGGCAGTTAGGAACAGAGAGAACAAGTGTTTCATCACTAGTTTGCATGTCGGAGTGATAATCCAGGGAGTGCTAGCTGCAACTGGTGACGTCACACAAGTCCAAAGTGGGTCGACGAAGTTTAAAAGGGAGTGCAAGACAGTAGTAATTGGAAGGCTTCAGAATACTACAGCAAATGTAAACATAGCCTAGCTCTGGCAGGAAAAGTCCAGTCTACTTTGATTAAAACCTCTTTGCAGATCTCGACTTTTGCACTTTTAAAAGCCCTTGTGTTTATACATGTGTTTATATATTTATATTTAAATATTTCTATGTCAAAAAACATGCATCCATACTCATTCTGAAATATAAAAACTGGTTTAATCAAGTGTTTGTGTGAATGTGATTAAATGGAGGTTGGTGAGTCATTACAAGTCTATATACATAAAGTGTGCCAGCATTAAGAAATGTTTACTTATCCCTGACACTAAGATCAATGTCTAAATAAGCATAAGACATTGGATTTTGGTCACTGGGGAAAAAAAAGGCAACACTAAATGAGTATTTGTGAATAAAATATCCAACCTATCTTATATATATATATAAAAAATTAACACATCAAACTTAAAACAACAAAGGTTTTCTAAAATGCAGTATTTACATTACAGGCCTTAAGCAGAGTGCACAGTCTTCCACTGTAGTGCTTCTTATCCTGTTTATGAAGCTGATAATTTTAACTGCTCGATATCACTCAGAAGAAAAATAATGTTTTTAAATGTAACAGTCAATTTCATAGCCAGCCAAGTAGAGCTTTGTTATTGGTTATCAAAATATCTCAGAGAAAGGAATCCTAAATCAGCATCAGCAAGTCAACATCACAATCCGCTTCATTTTTTTTAATCTTTAAAACCAAAAATTAAAACTAATAACTAATTAACTAATAATTAAAACCAAAAAGTATAAACTACCTCCCTTTGAAGTCGTGTTCTCTATACAGTGTACAAAACGTGCAGCTTTTTCTTAAAATGATTTAAATATCAAGCTGGAGTTTTTGCTATTTACACGGAGACTAAATCATGTTGATATGAAGGGAGTCCTGCACCTCCGCCTGAAACGGTTCCAGTCCAGCCGCAGTGTATTTCCTCCTCAGGAAAAATGAAGGACGATCCCTTAAGCACTAAAAGAAACAACTTAAAGGGAACTCTGATATCACTGGAGTGAGGAAAAGAAGACATTTACCCTAACTTTCTTCAAGAGGTCAATAATCGCTGAATAAAAAAATATTCCATAAAATAATTCACATTTCAATATTTTTTTTTTTTTTTGGCAGTTCATTTCAGAATTATACATACTAGCAAAATTAAATTACTCCTCTAAACCCCACAGTTCAAGGTATGCTACAAAGTACTCTTTCTGACACATCTTCGTATTTTAAAACTTTTTGATTTGTTAAAAACAGAAACTATGAAGGTCATGATCCTGTAGTACAAACATGGGCCGGTCAAAAGTATTTTAAAATCTCATGTAACTCTGTTTCTAAGGTTTGAGTTCACCTGAGGTGTGGAGTTCGCATTTATGACCTGTGCACTGTTGGTCAGCTGGCTGAAAGCAAGCAAATAGATATTAGTCTAGCAGTATTTCAGGTTGTTTTAAAAATATATCTGCGAGCTGTAAGCAGGATGTCTGTACTAGACTGCAGGATAGTTATCAGAAGATATAGCCTAATTACTCAGCTAATGTTAGCTTGTTGTTGCGTTTACCTTATGAAGAGCAGATTAAGAATAGTGGACTCGATAGGCGCCTTAATTAGGGGGTCGTTTATTTAATATTTTAGCTTTTATGCATCATAATTAAGCCAAGACATTTGTATACATAATGGTAATCTGTTTGAAATAAGAGCAGCTGGATCAGATTAGAAATTTTTGTTTAATCGCATGTATCTTTAAACTGATCGTCTTACACTTCTACCGGCCCTTGCTTTTACTCAATCGCCCTTAAACTGATCAAGAACTGATGCAATATCCCTAGCGGACTCTCCAATGTAAGAGGGGAGCTTTTAGGTATTTTGCTGCTTGCATCACAGCGACGTTTCCACTAACGGATAGGGAGAATAGAGGAAAAAATAAATAAAATTAACCACCGGGACCCTGGTGATCACAGTTGTCTTTTTAAATGTTCAAAATCTTTGGATAGACATTTTGTCAGGTGATTTTTTTGTATCCGATAGGTTGAATTAGCTCATTATGGTGTAAAAGCACAATTCCCTTCTTGATGCCTCCAAGCATTGATTTCATGTTTTGATACTAGGAGTTATTAAAAACCACTTTGATCCCTTACAAGACCCCAGAGTTGAACGATATTACAAACCCATTAGATGACCCTGAGAGACTAATTGGCCCTATGTGATGATGGCCATGTTTCATAGCATAAAACATTAGTAGATTACAATTCCTCACTTGCAGATAAGAAAAAAATAATAAAATAAAATTCAAAATACTTGCCGCCAATTCAAAAAAAGAAAAGGTCCAGTTTAAATGTACAGGCACGACTTGTCAGTAAACAGACTTATTTACATCAAGAAATAAAAAATAAAAAGTGGAGGGAAGACAAATAAATGCACACACCCCCTCCCCGCACCCTAAATCTCCATTGTGCTCAACGCTCTTCCACAGATATGATTCGGCTGCATCATTAACACCTGGAGCTCCTAATACTGAGTGCTTCTCACATCCGGGAGCCTCGTTCCTGAAGAATCTGAAACAAACATAGAAATCAGTCAAATAAAGTAAAATCTGGACGAACATCCATACTGGTTATGAACCAAAAGCAACAAATATGAATATTAAACATTTGTCCCTCACACTTTATTTCTCTACCAGATATGAAGACACTGAAGAGGTTATCAAGCTGAAAATGTTAAGGAATATGTGAAATACAAGCATTTCAATAGAAAGAAACCATCCCGTCAAAACAAGCTAAAGTGTAGCTTCAACCAGAAAATAAGAAAAGAGAGGCAGCTATATTTGTCCTGCTTTTTAATTTTTAATCATATTTAAAATTTTTACTTCTTCCCTTAAAGTCTGAAGCTGAAGGAAGGCTCTTTGTTGTTGACATAGACAGAAAATATACACATTTTTAAGTCTTTTAAAGTTTTCATATTTCCACTTTTATTGGAGTATATATATATTTAAACATTTTAAAAACCCATTTATAAAGTGTTATATATTTTAAGCCATTACTTATAGTGCAGGTTATTTTTAAACAATAATTATTTTCAATATTTCAGAAAGCAAAAGTATATAAATTAAAGTGAAATATTTCCATTATTCTAATATGCAAGAAACAGAATTTTGGGTTTATAATTACCTCATTTATAAGTAAATGAGAAAAGCTGGAAATGTTTCTCTTAATGTAAAATATATCTTAATAATGTTAAAATTCACTGTCTAAGAACAGGGACAAAAAAAAATGGAGGTTTTCCCCAAATCCTCCTATTTTAAGGTATATAATTTTACCTCCTCAGATAAACACACCACTGCTGCACCATTTAAATCACCCTTTCTTGTCTATTTCTGCCTCGGAGGGCTTGATTCAGAAGTGCAGCAGTCTATGATTCAGAGTGCCCTCCATTAGACGAAGCTGCAAGTATGTCAATAATTATAAGGGTGGGAAAGGAATGGATCTCTTCCCCTCTGGTCTCACAGAGAGCTTCACCTGAAGTTAAACATCTGGTATTTGATAGCCAAGGCAGCAGATTTCCAGCCTGTACTCTGATGCTTCCCATTGCTGGAAGCATTCAAACTGAGCTGAACCAGAAGCGTCTCTAGGACGGTTTATGTGGGGAAAGCGAGGAGGTTTGGTGAGAGGTGAATAAAGAGACCGGTGAGCAATCAAAGAGTCAACAAGGGATAATATTATTCAGTTCATTTCCAAATCAGTCTTCCAGTCCCTGATCTCCACGAGGAAACACAAAGGAAGGCACCTTATAAAACCAATAGAGAGAACACATTCTAAGTATGGTGAGGAGGAATAAAAAAAAAAAAAAAAAAACACAAAAAAGGACCCAGTTTAAGTGCTGAAACTATAAGGTACCGGTACACGTATAATGGGGAATTTTACAAACTGGACATACCCAAATGGCATTTATCAAGAGTACATCCTATATGTTTTTGAAGTGCAGACCTCTTGGTTTTTGGTGATAAATGTCTAAACTATAACCACAGGAGTAAGGAAAAGAGGTTACATCAATAGGACGAGGTATGTTGACGCCATGGGTGACTTTCTTTTTATGAGACGAGTCCATTCAGCAGTGTTTAAAATTCGGTTGTATGCATTTTACCATTAATGGAACCATAAAACATTTTATCATGTAGGGTATATATTTCTTCCAATAAAACTTTTTTAGAGAAGGGAAAACAAGCAAGTGTGTAATATTCCAAGGTGTAAGCCGACGTCTCCCAAACAAGTGGCTCCTACATCTTACACACCACAACATAAAGCCAAGGATGACCTCTGACCATAAGTCCCATCCATCGTTTAATGCTCTTCTCCTTGCCTTCCACCTCATGTCAATCGTTTATTTTTAAACATCGCTGCTGCAGAACTTAAATAAAAGTGGGCATGTGCAAAATGTTTTTTATAGAAGTAGTTTGTTTTTCTCTACAGGACGATTCATTTGACTGAGAAATTCTAGGCCTGTTGTGATAGCAAGCTAAGACGGAGCTGAAAACAAACACACCCAACATAGCAACCAGGACCTCCAGTAGATCCTTAGATTTTCTTAGAAAATGACTTTAATGTTTTTATTTCTGATTTTATAAACAAAACAAAAAGGGGTTACTCTATGGAAGAAACCATTTAATATTCTTTTTCTGTGGATTATTAGGATCTAAAGCAGCCCTTACATGCCTGTAACCGACACATGTTGGACATTTGTGATGCAAATTTGGGTAGAAAAAGATAATACTTCATATGGTCATTATTTTAAAGAAACAACTCTTATTGAATTAGAATGGGAGGCATAATTTGACTAGTAGAACTGTTTTCTTAAAGAAATGTTAATTAACCTCCATATAAACCAATTATAGGGTATTCTTTTTTAATTTTGAACAGGAAGGAAGAATGAGAGAAAAAGAAAAGAAAATATTTTCATGGGTGTAACATCATGGTGTCAAAGCTCGCTCATTTCCTTACATCACGTTATTGTGTCCTATTCTAGGTTCAGAGCATACATAATCCATTTTTCTCAGCATTCAACACATTTCTCTAGTTCCAGTCTCAAAATATAAGCCAGTCTCTCCATATTATAGATTTCTTTTACACTTCGCCGTAAGGTTGGAGGGTCAGTTTGTAGCCATCTCCGGGTTATAGCCATTTTACTACATATCAGAAGGATCTTTAGCAGATATATGTTTTAGTGAGGGATAGATTTAGGTATTTAATAAAGGAATAGTGCATTTTCACTCCGATAATCTTACATATTCCATTGGTTACTTCCCTCCAGTATGGTTGTATTTTTGGACAATCCCAAAAGACAAAAAAATTATCGGCCATTTTGGTACCACATTACCTCTAAGGATTATAGGGTTTTCTTTAGCATTTCAAAACGGTCACTGCTACACAAAGATTAAACCTAATTTTTTATCAGATTGTTGCCTTAACTTGCATACAGGTACAAATAAGAAGGTCAATGTGTTTAAAACACCATTTCCAGGGCCGTTATGTTTATTATAAGTCAGTGCATCGGCCTAATTTCAGTCTCTTTTTGAAAACTTTTTTGTGTAACTGGCATTTTTTCTGAAACCTTAAAGAACATGTGAGACCTTGCCAATAGCTGTACCGATCCGGAGCTGCTCTGTCCTAAAGCTCCTGCATTAAAGCTACCGGATTAAACAGGTTAGACACTGGGTCAAATTAAACATGACATAAATCCTCACTGAAGTTCACTTCAATTAAAAATGTGTGTTTGTGGTTTAGTAGTGAAGCTCAAGGAAGCAGGGAGATGGTAATAAAGCAGATGTTTCACATAGTTATACATTTTCTTCTCCTTTACCGATACTAAACCTCAGATTTTTTTACTGAATACATTTATATTCCTAAACCAATTTTCTGTAAGGATTTTCCAAATAATAAACCATGGTTACAGAGAAGTAAACATCCAGCACAGACTTTCCTTCATTTCACCATCCTCATGCTCACCTTTGCCTTCTCGCTGGGCTCACTGTTGGTCCCGTATGATTGATTGTGTAACTCCTTGGAGACCACACACAGGAACTCAGCTTGGTCTTCGTTTCCGTAGTTGTAAGAGGAGCCGATACTGACGAGCTAGGAGAAGATGAGAAAAACAACAAAATAAAACACAAAAATAAGATGTTAGCCCAAGATGGAAGACTACAAATGTGAACAATGAGCAGAGAAAAAACTGTAAATACCTGTGAAGTTAATTAAACTATTAACTGTCCCAAAATAAAGCATCCACCCTGAGCTTCCCTGTAATCTGGCAAGACGTCCATTGAACCCGTTTTTTTCCTCGTTATGTCAGAGAACCACAATCTTCCAGAAAATGGGAAGGAAAAATGAAAACATATTGTGCCCTAAACTTGGAACTAAAAATCTATTTCTTTTATGCTAACCAGCTTCCTTTTGCCCCGAGGATATAAAGGATGCCCACAGAATGATGCCATCATCACTGTGCTTCAAGATGCTCTCAAAACATCACCACCTTACTTGCTCTTTGAACATGGCTTATGGTAAACTAAAAAAGAATATTTTAGAAGCTTTCTATCAACAGTGAGCAGCAATCATGTTCAAAAGATTAGAAAAAAAAAAAAAAAACTATTACAAATTGCAGCCATGATTTTTAAATGGGGATATATTTTTAGATCTTGCTTTTCACTTTATAAATGAAGATTGGTCCATCTTTTAAATCCTCCCAAAATTAGAGAAGCACCGGTATAAAAGTTTTCCTCTAAGTGTATCTAGATCACATCTGAAGTTCCAGCCTTCATATAATTACTTCCACTGAAAGCAATCACTAAAAATTTTATTTTATGACCCGTTACCTTTATAAAAGTGGAGCAAAATAAAATGTGATTCACTAAAGAGGAACCAAACAAAGTAAAGACACAGACCAGCATTCATGAGACAAAAATGCTACGATCAGTACAGAGCTACTGAGAGAGGAGAGACGGAGGGATTTAGCCATGAGCAACATGCTGGGTGAAAATTATTCAAAATATGCCAGAAGAACAAGCAAATATTTGAAAAGCAGCAACCACAAAGGCAAACGCCTCTGGCCAGTATTTACTACATGCAGATTGATAATTTAGGATTTTCCCCACAGCTACAAGGGAGGGACATTTCGAGGAAAAACACCTTCCATTTAAAAAACCTTGAGCTCTATTTCAATACCAAAACAGGTTCTGAATCCATTTTAATTGATCTATAACATCCACTGTTCCTGTCATGAAAAAACACAAGACAGCCAATAGTCATGTGATCCTTGAAAGGACGCTGCATTCAAGCAATCAGAAGCTCCTGCTGTGGCCGAGTGTGCTGCAGACTGCATGCATCCCCGCCTGTACCCAGGTGTGCATGTTCAGACATGCATCGCCTCATTACGCCCTGCTGCCAGATACTTGTTGTTGTGAATCAGCTTCACTGACGTTCAGCATCAACAAGGCAGAAAAGAACCAAATATCCTCACCTACCTAACGTTACAAACTCCTGTTGTAAATCTAAACTTTTTGTTTTAATTTAAGAATAAGGTAATAGAAGCTATTTTGAGAAGATATTCTGCTGAGTTCTTGTTTCAAATCTGACCTGAACATCTGCTAAAGAGGGATCAACCGATTACAGTCTCTTCTAAAAACACACCAATTAATTTCTTTTAAAAGGTCGACTTCCATTGATAAAACTCACCTTTGTTAGCTAAATTAAAGTCTACCCAGAACAGCGATTGGTCTTTTGTAACAACCTGATAATAAATAAAAACAAATTTGAATCACAGACAAGAACAAATGTGTCAGGTTCTTTGCTTCATCAGTGAGCAAGCAGAACAAATGAACACAGAAAAGAACTGGCTCCAAAAAAAAAAAAAACCCAAAAAATCAACAGCTATGTGTCTACTTGGGACAAACAATGGCCAAAGGGGTGTGTATGGACAACATGGGGATCATGCAGTGACCAGCCCGTAAACACAGAGTTGTGGGACACACCTCTCCGCTGTTGTTTGGCAAAGTAGACTCCTCTCCCTTCACCTCCCTTGACACAATCAGCAGATACTCTGACTGGTGGGCCCGCCCGTAACCTATACTGACAAGCTGCAACGACCAATCAGAGCACAGAAAGCATGCCCGGATCATATATGCATGGAAAAAAGAAAAACTACTGAAAAAAAATAAATCCTGGATGCTGTTCAGCCTTCGTTTTGTTTTTATGTTAAGGATCACATTTCAGTTGGACTTCTTGGGTTAATGTGAGCAGAGCAGCATGAAGGGGAACGTTCATGACAGAAGGACTGCTGCTCAGACCCAGAGGGAAGAGTTTTACCTGCTCAAACTTCCAGCCGTCAGACATGGTGGACACCATCTGTGTCAGCTCCTCCTCCTGGCACTGCAGCACCCGATACACATGCTTTACTGGAACCTAAAAGGAAATATGGACACGTAAGTATCGGGCACAGCCATTGAAGGACTCAACCACACAAAGAAGAGTGAAGGAGTCTGAATCCCTGAATTATGCCATTCCCGCTCGGAGGATGGAGGATTATGGCTGGAAAGAAGCGGATTTTATAGAGCTATAATTCTGCACCCAGCAGCATTTCTCTCTCTTTGCCTGCGACTCTTCGCAATGCCTTGACACCATAGCCCGAATAAAAGACTTAATCTGTCCAAAAAACTTAAATACAAAAGAAGAGATGCGGTTGTGTCTGATTACGAAGTGGCTTTCCTTTCACAAAACTCGCCCCTGTCCCTGGAATATCCCGTCATCTCAGCTCACTGGGCCTGCTGAACTCAACCTGCTCTGCTGTATATTAGAATGCATCTTTGCATATTAATAACTTTTGTTTGGGCAGGTTAAAGCATTTTAAGACAAAACTATTCAAATATTGTGCATTTCATTGTGTTTTAAACTGGAGCCAATAGTGAGTCCAACTTTATTTTAAGATGTGAAAAATTTAACAGGGTTTGAATTCCTTTGCAGTACAACAACAGCAGGATAAAACTGTTTGAATCATGTTGTGGCTCTAGGCTTGGGTATTTATAATCAAGAATCAATCAGAACAGGCTCGACTATATCAGTTTTACCAGAATCGTTCAATTTAGTTTCAATGCCCACTCCACAGACCAGAAAGAGAAGATGCTGGGGCGTTCTTTGGTGGCGCAGTGGTTAGCGCACATGACCCATGTGTGGAGGCCTTAGTCTTCGACTCGGGTTGCCTGGGTTCGAATCTGGCCTGTGGTCCTTTCCCGCATGTCTCTTTGCCCCCTCTCTCATTCCCCCTTTCCTTATAGCCTACTGTCCAGAAAAAACAATCCACTAGTGCCGTTAAAACTAAAAAAAAGAAGAAAAAAAAGAAATAGAAGCTTCCTAATATCAGCGGAGAGGAAACCGCAGCATTGTGTGCAAAACCATCTGTTTTTGATGCAGCCTTTAAAAGGCTGGCTAAAAGTGAAATAAATAAAAGAAGATCAGTAGAGATCAGAGATTATATTACCCAATGGACGGCACACGGCCGACATAATTCAGCACCATCAAACTCTGATAGAGAGCCTCGTCTTTGACCACCGGTGTTGTGCCAAGGTTGGCTCCCTGAGGTTGTTCCTCCTCTAAACTCGTAGCGCAACTTCCTCTGGGGTAACCAGAGCCTTCTCTGTACTATTGTCTAATTTTACATCTTAAAGGAGAAGTTCGGTTTTTAACACTTTTAGCCCATTTTCTCTAGTGTCCAGGATGAAATCGAATGATCGACACCAAAATTTTGACAATTGGTCCTGTCTCTGCTTTTTGGCTCATTTAGAATCCACCCCTGGCTGCTTTAGAATGGCTTCCATAGTGCATGTCCGATAATGTCCTTAAAACAACCTTAAACGTTTTTTTTTTAAATATGCTACTCACCGGGTCGTCAGCGCTGTTCAATGACGTTCCAAAAAAAGTTTCGTAAAGAAAAAACGTTCCTGTAGTGTTTTATTTAGCATTTTGTAAATCCCATTGAGTTCTGTTGGAATAGTCAATATTCCGCTGCCACCGGAAACGGAAATGGGGCCTGTTTACACAGTTGTAGTCTTTTCGCTTCACTCTGTGTACTCCGACGTCGAGAATCAAGAATCCACCTTTCGTATTCCATTTTCAGAGTTTTTTAAAGTGTTTAACAGAGACGTTAGCACCTCGACATCGGAGTACACAGAGTGAATTGAACAGCGCTGACGACCCGGTGAGTAGCATATTTAAAAAAAAGAATGTTTAAGGTTGTTTTAAGGACATTATCGGACATGCTCTATGGAAGCCATTCTAAAGCAGCCAGGGGTGGATTCTAAATGAGCCAAAAAGCAGAGACAGGACCAATTGTCAAAATTTTGGTGTCGATCATTCGATTTCATCCTGGACACTACAGAAAATGGGCTAAAAGTGTTAAAAACCGAACTTCTCCTTTAACAGGTACCAGCGTCATTTCCTACACGTTCTGGTTCAAATGAAAACCCTTTTTAACGCAGATCTGCAGAACTTCTTAATAATTTCAATCCTAATCTTATCCATTATTGATTTTAGTTCATTTGAAAAATGTTTCATTTAATGAAGCCTGTTAACTGAACGACTGAGTACAAAATTGCCTTGTTTCCCTGTCCATAAAAGTCAAATGTTACTACTTCTGTGTCTATTTGTGTGGAACCAAGATGCAGTACACGATGCTGAGGGTAGAAACTCTCAGGATGACTGTGCTGCTTTTTCCTTCAGCTCAGATACTCAGCCTAGAACAATCTAAAGTCAGGATTAGTTCAATAAAATTAAATACTTTTCTATGGCATACGTACCAGAAGCATCAAACACTGGATACATGTAAATGTGTTTTAATGAGGTTTTAAACAATAAAGTGCCATGTCAAAGTTGAACTGTGAAAATTGATAAGATTACATTATTGATAAGTTTGATATTTATATACTGTTGTAACTTATCGTAATGTTCACACCAAGTTAGACGTTGAAGGAATTAAATTCAATTTCATGAAGACAGGTAATTTATACCATATAAACTGTTCTGGTTCTTCTTCTTAAAGAATTGGAATCAGAATCAAAGCGAGGACTCGGAATCATTTAAATTCAAACGATGCCTGATCCTGGTTTTCAAAATGGTCGAAATATTTGATACCTGTGATGTTTTGCAGTCACGTTCCCTGATCTTGTCCTTGATGAGTTTTATTAATGATGTGATGTTGTAGAACTCGGCTTCTTCTAAAACACCTTAAAACAGAAAAGCGTATGTTGATTTTAGACGTGTGCATCCACTGAAACGCTGCTCTCCCAGGGAGAGGGCAAGAAAAGCAGAGTTAAAGGCTGCCTCTACAGACGGTAAGATATTACCTTCCTCTGCCAAGTCCCTGTTGAGCACCAGTTTGCCATGCCTCAAGTAGTTCAGCACTGGCCCAAAGTATGCAGGGTCTCTGTCAATGAGATAGGCACCAGTTTCATCCTGTGAAGAAAGAAAAAAATTGCCTGTTTAAGCCTGAGGAAATGCCCAAACTGAAAGGTTTAAGGGTCAAACACAGCTAGAGAAAACAACAGTTTCTGTGATTTTAACATCTAACATGGTTGAGACAACATGGGTAAACCAGGTCATACATGTGACTGCTTTGGGATGTTACTTTGGTATTCCCTCAGGCCTTTGGGTTTCATCCTGATTTCTTTACAACCGCTGGGTATTCCCCTATTTCTGTGCTGTGATTAGAGCGAGCGTGTCTCAGGGGAGGACCAGGAGAGCGAGTTAAAACAATTAGAGCAGAACAGAAAAGATTTGGAACAACAGGCGGATCCCGCTGAGGGGAGCAGGAAAAAGCACCTTGGTGTTCAACCATCTATTAGCCTGTTTTGCTCGCTTGGATGGCTAGCTTCATAAATGAATAAAATTCAGGCTTGTACAGCATCCCTCTAATGCCAAATGTTAATCAAAATGTGTCATTTAGTGAGGGAAACAAGCATCAGTTTTCGTACACACAGGAAAGGCTTTATGGGCTATACCGTTCTCATTATATACACTGGGAACACGCGGCGGACTTAGCTGAGGCACAGAAGGACGTCTGTTACATCACAGGCAGACCTACGTTATGTTGCAGCATTTCAGGTCACGATCACAAATCAAACATCCAAGCCTGCTCTTACTATAGAACCATTATGTTTTCAGCTCAGTAGAAAGGAGAAAACCTGAATGAAGTATTTTAAAGAACCCCTATTAAAACATCAGATTATTAGCTTTTTTCTTCACCAAAACGTACCAATTTAAATGGGGTACATGTGCAGGCTGAAAATGGGCTGTGGTTCACTTTAGATGTTTTGTCATCAACATAAACATTGATCATTTATCAGTTTTTACTTTTTTTATATACTTTCAGCACTTGCAAGAAAGGATCAAAAGAAAGAAGGTAATTCTACCTGTTATGCAGTAGATGTTTGTAAATTATAACTTAACACTGTTAGGTTGTATTATATAGGGAATAAATCTGTGGAAAAGTTGCTAATCATCTTGCATCTCATCAACATCTAATTAGCCTTCATCCAATCAAGTGTTTCCTTTACTTAAGTTATTCCTTCAATTTATCACACCATGTTTAATAGGCATCAATTTGATTGCTGCTGCTGTTTTGGAAAGTTTTTATCCAGGAAGAACATTTAAGGTTACAATTAAAGAATTGAACATTATTGATCTCACATTGGAGAAATTTATCTCTGCATTTAACCAGGGAGCCAGAGTGGCAGTCTGGGGGAGTGGGGGATCGGACTCCCAATCTCAGGATTCAAAGCCCTATGCCCTAAACCCTAGGCCACCACTTCCCTACTATGTACTGTAGGTCAGCTTGCTAAGGAAATCCATTAGATTTTTACCATACTAACATAATAAAGGGAACACTGATATTGTGTTGGAACTGAAACAGTCACTCTTATAAAGACAACATTGTTACAAGCAGCAGGTCTACTCAGTGGTCGGATCCTCAGGGGGCATCTAAGGACAGATCCTTCTTACATATTGTATGTGTCACTAGAAGTGACTAGACCACGCCTAGATGACCTTATCCTATATTACATCAGCGATAAAGACCTGCATTGTTTCTACAACAGTGCAGATGAATAAATGAATGAATAAATAGGAATTTATTTCAGACAATTTGACAATAACTCAACCAAATACAAACAAAAGAGACTAGTTAAAATCAACCAAACCAAACACCAATTTCCAAACTAATTTAATTCAACTGAACATAAATAGAAAAAAAAAAACCCTCCACCAAATAAACCTGTCGGTATATAGAGCCAGATAAATGACATTGATTCATGTAATTGTCTATTGGATCATTCCTTTTGTAGATGTAACAGATTTCACTTTTTGTTACATGAATTTTTATAAAATGTAGAGACTGGTTTTAGTCCTTAGTTATCAAATGGTGAGAATCTTTTGCCTAGCATGGACATCGTTGAAATATATTTTAGAAAAGCTACATGGCCCATTTAAATGTTTAATGGGTTAAATGTTGAACTTATTTATAAACTGTATAATGTGTAATTTCAATTTAGAATTAGTTTGCTCTATTTGGTGCATTTTCAACAGATTAACAATTTCACATCATTTTGACTTTGTCTTTAGAGTCTCACTTTAAAAATATAAAATTTTTACAACTTGACAAAAATGTTACTTTATTTATATTTTTATTGGCCTTTTTAAATCATGATTTAATTTTGATGCTGTAGTAGTGAAGCACTTTTACGATTTTTTATTTGTAAAAGTACAATAATTATAGTTTTCACAGCAAATGTCACAGGTGAGGATTTACTGCCTAAAACGACCCAGAAAGGTGCAATTTCTTATAGTTTGTATTATCCAGATATTAATTCAACATAAATCTCATTAATCTTTCTAATAATGAGTTAAAGTCCCAGTGCAATGTCTTTTGTAATGAATCGTTAAGCCCTCTTGGGAGATTGACCTCTTTATGGAGTCAAAAATATTCCACAGGAGCCCACAGGAGCTCCATTCTCATCAGATTTTAAACTTTTTCTAGTCACAGGGGTTTAAAAATGAGTACAGGTGGAGTCAAACTAAGAATGCACACAAGGCTCGACTTACACAGCCCATATGGACCGGTACCAGGTTGATTTCAACTTAATTAGATCTTAAAGCAGACATGTAGCAAGAATCAATCTTTATAAGCACCTTTATAGATGTAGTGCCTGTCAATATTCCTCTTTAAAAGAAATATTAGGAATTTAAAGTGTCATCAACATCCCGTTTGGAGACAGCCTAGATAACAAAATATCAGTGTGATGGTAATCTAAGCATTTATGAGATGATTTAGGGGTCCACCAACTGGCTCTAGTTGGAAAACCCCACTGACAGGGTCCTGATCCCAGTGACAGCTAGAAACGTAACCCAATTTCAAGCCACCGGCATCAATAGCCATACAGATTTTTTTTTCTTATTTTCAAGAGCTTTATTAAACATGGCAGAGCTAGCAAAAAAGGCAAGGGAAACTTTATCAGAAGAGAAAACAGGAATCAGATCAGGACATGGCTTGCAAAATAGAAAAGGCTGCTGTACATTGTGGATTAAATAATAAGCAATACTACCCACCCCTCCAGAGATTTGGTCATGACATACGTCTTCCATGTGCTTAAAGTGTGACAACGCACTGCCTTTGTGGGATGCGTGGCTTCCAGAGGGCAGTCGGTGTTTACAACAGTGCTATTTTCAAAAGGTTGTGTTGCAAGAGGTTTGTACTCTAAAAATTACCTTGTGGTGCTTTAAAACACCATGTGTATATCTAATGAGTGAAGCAATGCAGTTATTTCAGCTATGAAATCAAAATAACGTACAATACACAGCTGTATATTTCATACAGTAGAGATGAACCCGAGCTAACTCCTTACATTCATATCAGATTTTACAAAAGACGCTGAAAAGAAAAACCTCCTAAATGCACACCTGTGGTACAGAGGAGCACCCTGATTTTCACCAGGAATCCCATCACACTATTTCACTCCAGGCATTTTGTCTTGTCACAGCATGAAAGCTAGAGTACAGACTGGAAATTACACAAACAGGTGAGATTTAGTTTCATTAAAAACAAAATATGAAACTCCTGCATTTCAAAAGTCAAAATACAAGCTTTGGCAAATGATCAACTCTAACTTAATTACAAGTTTGGTACAAAGAACTGATCCGACATGAACATAAAGAAAAAATTTACAGTTTTGAAAAAAGTCAACATACCTTTTGCAGAATTTTATTTGAAATACAAATGAGCAAAACACCACAACTTCTCATTGTGTTGCATTAGGGCTGTGTGATATTAGGAAATCATGTGATATGGGATATTAATGGTAAATGTTGAAATAATCATATGACTTGTAATAAATAACCCAAAGTGTTTAGAAAAGTCAGAAGATATTTTCTGTTTTATTCTTCAAACAGATCCAAGATAATAAGCACTTGTCCACCAACTGGAAAATAAATGAATATCAGGATTTTAATCCTTAGAAGTTCATTTTTTCAAACATCTCTTTCCACCTAGAAAAATAAAATAGTTGTATTTTCTTAACTTAATCACCTGCTTACCTTCTAAAACATTTTATTCTGCATTTCAGAACAGTTTTCATTAAATATGAGGCACAAATGAGGCTTTAGTGCAGTCAATGTAGTTCTTCCCCCTATAAATACGGCTGGCTTAAGATTTATCATGTTAAAGATAAACTTCTGATACTCTGTGGCCTTAAAATGGATTAGTACTTGAACTTTATTTATGACAAAAAAAGTCTCAACAGAATCCTAAAATAATTAATGGTAATTTTTCTTGTAGATGTACTACAGGTGTAACTATAACATTCTGGTTAAAGTAAAACTACTCTTGCCAAGTCCTAGCTGTTGAACGCAGGGAGCTTTATTATGGATCTCGATTAGTTAATTCTTTGAAGAAAAAAAAAGAAAGAAAGAGAAAAGAAAATGTCATATCATAGAATACTAGAAAATGTGCTTTCTTAAAAACACTCCTTGTCTCTCTTGAAATGCAAATAATAAACCAGAAATTTCCATAAGTGTCAAAAACCTAGAATTGTGTATCATTTGTTCACGCAAACCCCTGAGGGAAAGAAAATAAAACGAAAAAAAAAAAAAAATCATGCCTAAATTTTGACAACACAAACTCAGAGGTAATTCTGTGTATATTGAAGATGGGCAGCAAAAACGCCACTACTAAATTTGGATTTTCATTTTCACCCTTCAAATATGATTTTTTTTTTTTTTTTAAACAGCAATAAGCTGTATTTTGATTATCTTAAATGTTGTCCCCTGACACAAAATTTCCTTAATCAGAGCAATACCTGTTTTGATTAAGAGAGCAGGTATTGCTCTTTTAATCAGCAATACCTGCTGATTAAGAGAGCAATAGATGGTCCTTCCATGAGTGGGAAAGCTGAAAAACAAACACA